TTACTTGAATTAGTAGCTAATACTATTTAAGTTAAAATCGGTAATAAACTAGAAGAAGTTAAAGGACTAGAAGTCTATAAAGTAAAGGCAATTAGGGAAATGTATAAGCACGAAGGCAAAATAGAATACTTGATTAAGTAGAAGAACTACCTAGAAAGCGAAAATATATAGGAACCATTAAAATACCTTGCTAATGCCTAACAACTCCTAAAGAACTTCTACTAAAAGAAGTAGGATCTATGAAAATAGTTAACTAATTAATTAGATTAGCGATACTAGTAGTAATCGAATTAATTACTAAAGAAGATTCTTTAGTAGTATGTAATTTAGCCGCCTCCGCAGACTTTAGTTCCTTTATAGACTTAAGATCCCGCTCTAATATTTTTATACCTTTAGACTGAAGAAGGCGTTTTTGCCTATGAAGATATATTAACTTAGAAAGACGTTTATTTAGTTAACGCTGTAAATCCATTAATTCTTCCTTAGTAGCCTCTTTATTAGCCTTTAAACAAGCCTTGGCCTGAACTAAACGATCCGCTGGAAAAAATCAGTATATACATATAGCGAAAAGAAGGTATATAAACCTTTAGATACAGACACTCCTTTACTATCGTAAGAACGACCCCGACGGGTATATTTAGAATAATTCTTATGACCTTCTTTTATTATATACTATAAACTCTTTGTAGAATAAAAAGAGTACGGTATAATGATGTAACCTTCTGAAAAAATTAAAGCAGCTCTGGCTTTGCGATAAGTAGTTTCTACAGACGATATTGTTAGTGTAAAAAAGGATTATAAGTTTAGGTTCCTTACCTAGGACTAATAGCATGAGAAAATAGAGTTATGTAGGTCTCGAGGATAAGACCTTAAAGGGGGGAGAGATTATGTTACGACCTTAGTATTTATATTATGTATACCCTATATTTTCTTACCTATTATGTATGGTCACTACCATACTATGTAATATATATAGTGACTATTACGAAACGGTTACCTCTTAACACCAGAATCACTTAGTAACTAATATAATCACCAGTAACTATAATAGTTACTATAGTAACTATCTTTAATATATAGAATACATTTATTAGTACTTTTATAGATATTAGCTTACTAGCTATTAATATAACTTTTTTACCTTAATATACCTAACCCGCTTTATTAACTATTAAGAGATATAATTTCTTCACTACCGCTTAGAATATATCCTGCAATCCTATAAATATACATCTAAGTACGGCTTAAGTGTATCCCTTTGGAAACCTAACCGTTATATTTATAATACTTTAGTAAAAGAGGTTCTATATAATAGAATTTCATGTTATAACAGTATTTACTAATTTATTATATTTTACTACTATATACTATTTAAGCATTAGTTAATAATAAGTACTATATACTTATAGTACTAAAAATACAAGACAGTATTCTAGACCTATATATTTAAAAAGCACTTTTAATAATTAACTAATGTATTTCACCGTCACTCCGTACACCCCGTGACCCCGCACACTTTTCCCACTAAAAGGTCACTTTTTAAAAGATATGAATAGAATACTATAAAAATAGCTATAGACCCACTTTCTATATATAGTATTACTTAAGGTCTTAATTATAATACAATCTAAAGATATAAAGTATAATATTCTTTATTTATTTTTAAATTAACGTATAAAATATAGTATTCTATAGTAATCTATTATATTTTAAATAAAACTATAAACAATTACTATATTAATATATAACTATAAATAGAGAGTTGTATCAGGTTAAACAATTATATATTAAGATCTTAAGCTTATAAAGTAAGTATATAAAATTAAAGAATTAATTTAAGTAATTAAAATTAGAGTACTTAAAATATTTTATTAAAAGTATTTATAAAAATAATTAAGATTTTAAACCTAATTAATAAGCTTATATTAAGACTGTATAGCGTTATTATAGTTTTTAATATTTTATAGAATATTTAATTAAGGTTTTATATTAAATATATATGTTATCCTTAGTAATATTTTACATTACTATATTATCTATTATAGAAATAATATAGATATAAAATAATCCTTATATAATATTATATACTATATAGATTATAAATATATCTCTTTTAAGTTTATCTATTTATAGATTAAATAAATAAATATTATTTTAAATAAATACTATTTTATTAAAATAATTTAATTATATATCTTATTAAGCTTTTATATATATAAAAAGTATTTCTAATATATATCTTATATATATACTTATATATTTATAATAGTAAGACCTTTATTTTCTATAGTTAAAATAATAATAAATAAGTCATATATTTTACTATTTTATATTATAATATATATACTATAATATTATTATAAATTCTAATATAAGTATATAGACTAGTTTAATAACTCTATTATATAATTTAAAGCTTAATATATAAGTTAAGTAGATATTAGCTTTTATATTATTTATTTAGTATTTTAAAATAATATTCTTTATAAATAAAAATATATGTTAAGTTATACTATTTACTTTTAATTTTATATTATATTAATTAAATATATAAAATAAAACATATATTATATAGACTATTTATAAGCTATATTTAATAGTAAATATAAAAAGAACTTTATATATATTTATTTAATACTTTAAAATTAAAGTATTAATAAAATTACTATTTTCTATAGAAAGGCTAGGATTTTAAAGAATTATTTAAATATATTACAAAATAGCTAAAAATATAAGCCTAAATTCTAAATATTATATATATCTTAAATAATATTTAAGGTTTTACTCTCTATATTTAACTATTTTATTACTATTCTATACTTTATATTAAAAAACTAACTATTTGGTGAGAAAAGTGTGCGGGTCACGGGGTGTACGGAGTGGCGGTGAAATACGTTAGTAATATACTATAGAATATTATTAACTATTATACTAAATTTAGTAGATTCAGTCAACTCAGATCTTTTAAAAGATAGCAGTGAAGTTATACATTCTTATAGCCCGTCCTACTTTTAATAAAAAAGGCAACCCTTATCGTTATCAAAGGCTATAATTCACTAGATTATAAATCGAGAGTGGGGTATCGTTTAAAGGGATAGCACTTAAAGGGATAGGCTGCTGCAGTTAACTAATAATCGTTTAGGCGCCCGAGCTTACGAAAAGAGGGCGCGGAAGAAAAGTCCTTTCGTTCCGAAAAGCATGCTGCGCCTCTACATGGCTCTCGTGCAGTATGCCTTGTGGGCGCAGCTCTCCCACAGCCTCATGGTCTGCCAAGCCTACTCAGTACAACAAAGGTGCAATCAGGCTCCCAGCAAACTGAAGGCAGCAGTTTCCTACTAAAACACAACCAGCACCTCGATGGCTTGAGCTCTACGCATACAAGCCTCCACCTGTTGACGCTACGCAATGGACCCTTTGAGCGTGACCGCGTCCATCATCGCTATTCTACAACTCTCAACTGAAGTGACATACTATGTGTTTAGTGCGAGGGGAGCCACGAAGCACCAAAGGCGGCTCCACGAAGAAATCTGTGGCTGCGAGGAGATGCTCTTTCAGTTGAAGGACATTCTAGAGAATGAGCGGCCAGACCCAACACGTGCACCACGTATTTCACTCCTTGAGGGGCCGCACAGTCCTTTCAAGCGGTTGGAGATCTTATTTGAATCAATCAGGGTAAAGCTGGCCCCGAAAAAAGGCCTGACCAAAGTGATATCGTCCTTGGCATGGCCGTTCAACGAGAAGGACGTCAGTGAGCTGATTGCCGCCATACAACGCGAAAAAGGCCCGTTACAGCTGGTTTTGGAGAATGATAGCCGGTAGGCTTACTACACTTTCTCCTCACAGCATAGCAATTGACTGACTCTTAGGTAAAGAGATCTACTGAAGGGTTTCATTCAAATAGCCGAAGAAAATCACAATCGTTTGACGGAGCTGATGCAAAATCTCAAACACGAATCGGGTCAACAGAGGGATTAACTTGAAGAGCTAAACACAGCACTTGAATCTCTTCAAACCAACCAAGAAACTCTTTCGAATAGTCTGGACAAGTTTGGCAATGCTCAGGCGGCAGATTAACGACTCAAAATCCTCAATTGGATCACACCAATGAATTTCATGTCTGATCAAGAAGATCATATGGACAGACTTCAGCCTGGGACTGGCCAGTGGCTGTTGGAATCCGAACAGTTCAAAGCATGGGTAGGCGGAGTATCAGACTCTGTACTGTCCTGGTATTCCTGGGGCAGGAAAGACAATTCTTACGTCACTTGTTATTGATCATCTCCAAACTCAGTATCAATCTGAAAATTTCAGAGTCACCTATGCTTTCTGTAACTATGGCCGCCGAGACGAGCAGACACCAAAAACCTTGCTTGCCACCCTTCTAAGACAGACAATCCAAGGTAAAGCTCAAATCGACACACATGTCACGCGCCTGTACGAAAGCCGGGATTCCGCAGGATCGTTGCTCTCCTGTGAAGTAATAATGGAGGCACTTGTGTCTTCCCATTTCATCTTATTCGAGGGTCTTTATTGTTGTCGATGCAATCGATGAACTTGAAGCTTCCCGAGGTTTTCGCGACAGTTTCCTCACATCACTGAGCACCATCTCAGCAAAGCTTGTGGGAAAAGTAAGCATTTTCGCATCCTCTCGGTTGATTCAGGATATTGCTGGAAGCCTCAAAGGTAGCACCACCTTGGAGATAAAGGCATCCGAAACGGATATCAGCAAATACACGCAGGGGCAGATGTCGCGGCTGCCGTCCTTCGTTATACGGAGGCCTGACCTTCAATGTGAAATCACGGAAACTATTGGTCGAGTTGCACAAGGAATGTATGTTGATACTCTCTTCGGTTTGTTGTGGGCTCTCTAATAAATTTGCTGAAGGTTTCTCCTTGCCGAGCTGCACGTTGGATCTCTTTTGGGAAGCGTCTCCCCAAAAGCTCTTCGTACGGCCCTAAAACAATTACCAACCGGTTACGATCAAGCATACAGAGATATCATGAGGCGGATTGACCACGAAAAGACACAAGCCCAGCGGGATTTGGCGCATCGGGCCCTGGAATGGCTTACGCGTGCCAAGCGTGCCCTCACTCTTTGCGAGTTACGGCATGCGTTTGCAGTGGAACTCGACAGTGCAGGGAACTATCTCGACGAAGAAAACCTCCCAGAAGAAGATGAACTCGTGTCTGCTTGTGCAGGGTTAGTCATCGTGGACAAAGCGAGTGGTATCATACGACTCGTCCATTATACTGCGCAAGATTTCTTCAACAAGACCCAAGAACAACTGTTTCCGGGAGATGAGAGAGGCATCACAAGCATATGCCTGAAGTACCTCTCATTTGAAGGGTTGAGTGGGTTTTGCAATTCAGATGATGAATATGAGAGCCGCTTGAGGAGGAACCCTTTCCACAGTTACGCAGCGCAGAACTGGGGCCATCATGCTCTCAATTCTGATACGTCACAAATACTTGACAGAATCCTTCAGCTTCTTGGAGACTCGACTAAAGTCGAAGCCATGAGCCAGACGATATTCTCTGGAAGTCAAGAAATCGTCTTCGAGACGCGTTACCCGGGGTACAGCCAGCTTTTTCCACGGCAGGTGCATAGTCTGCACTTAGCCGCCTACTTCGGCCTGAAGGAGCCAGTCCAGTACTTGATCGTTACGTAAGATCCAAATCTTTGTGACGGCACCGGTATGCCAGTACTATCGTGGGCCGCTACGAGAGGGAATTTAGGCGTTGTCAGGGTTCTGGTAAAACACAGCACGATCAAGACTGTAATTGACAAGAATGACCATTACGGCTTTACACCGCTTCTTCTAGCTGCCCGTAACGGTCATAAAACGACAGTCGAATTCCTCCTCGAGAAAGGAGCAAGCCCTCAGGCAACCGATCGCCATGGCCGAACGCCGCTATCCTGAGCTGCTAGGGAAGGCCATCCCCAGGTTGTAGACGCTCTTTTAGCATGGGACTTGGGAGTAGATGTTAATGCGATTGATGAGAAGGGCCGGTCACCACTGTCATTGGGAGCCCAAAGAGGTTTCGATACCGTCGTGAGGCTTCTTCTCGATGCGGGAGCCGCAGTTGACAAAGCGGACAAGGTTGGTCGAACACCCCTATCGTGGGCAGTACAATACTCCGACGTTGTGGAACTTTTGCTCCTAGCAAAGGCCGACACGAACGCGAGTGATATATATCAGCGGCCCCCCCCCTGTCCTACGCAGCCTCTAGGGCATATGAGATCACAGCCAGCTTGCTCCTTGAAAATGGAGCCGATGTTGACACGAGAGACACCAACGGTCAGACGCCTCTGGTGTGGGCCACGATGAACGGGAATGAGAAGATTGCCAGCTTGCTTCTAGAATATGGATGCCGGGGGGGCATAGCCGACAATCAGGGACTCATCTCTGCGGAACATATTCTAGGAACGAATGGCGTCGCGGAGATGCTAGACCCCCGTAAGTAAAATGGACGCTTTTAGAGAAATTAGACGAACTGACAGTTAGAGGATATTGCGTTGCCCCGTCGTACATGTTTCAACCTGGCGAAGTAGGTTATGGACCTGACATTAACGAGGCCATTTTCTGACTAGACCAAAGGTGTTCAAAGTTATATGGCCTGAGCCAGCAGGGACAGGGGCTTACGATGGTGCAACTATCGCCTCGGACAACAGAACGTTTGACAATCAGTATGGACAGATCTACGTCCATTTTCAACGCTTCCTAGTCCTTACCAGCGACTCGGACAATTGTACCTGCATGTAAGTTCTCTCTGTCTAGATAGTATGCCGCTTTAGCCTGTTGCTTACCTCAGATAGCCCAATTACTACTTATGGCCGACAGGCATGCACGAAGAAGGGGGTTAAGGCAAATTACCATGGGATTGTGTGTGAAGCTGGAGAAAGACCTACTCTCTTATCAGATGAGCCGAAACTTGGCTTTGCACCTATTCGGGTGCATATTTATGAGCATGGCGAAAACCTCTCAAATGTAAGTCGGGTCAAAGCTGACCACACTTGAACACAATGTTAAGGTCTTCTTTATTGGGCGCGTTGTTTCGGAAGACTGGGACATTGTGACAGATGCAGTGAATGAGTGCTGGAGGAAGGAAATACATCACAGGAAGAAAAACATAGAAGAGGAATAGTTACCTATAAAAACTCCTGGCTGTAGTGTATTAGAATGGGGACAGGCCTAGGGGGAGAAATTCCAGTTGCGAAACTTTCCATATTTAAGTTGGTAATGAGAGCGACGCTAGTACTCTTGTGAGATATTGGTAAGGCTTGATTTCTTGGGCTTATTACCCACAGGTATAGAGTTCTCCACAATAATTACGCTGAAAATGTAAGCGGTTATTAACAAAGCCTTGGGTAAGACGTTATTATGAATTTTTAACTTACAGTACTGATGAGAAGATTGAGTGCGAATAAAGTTTTGAGAAACGGATGAGAAATTATGTTAAAAAGTCAACCGAGATTGTATCGCCATTAGCATTAAATGGTAGACTTGCTGCAGGTAATAGAGAATCAAGAGTAAAGCAGGCACTAATATACGAAAAGTATTGTCGGATATACAAGAACAACACTGCGTGTTTCGGCGCGAACTCTACACGATATCACGTGCCGGGTCACGTGAGATGTATGCTCGGGTTTCTTCTAGAGCCCCGCCTCTTCGCCCTCTAGGAGCTTTTTGTTCCTTAATACAGCTGCGCGATGAATCACAGCAGCCGTTCAGTGACGAAAAGACCACGCGCTGCTATCGCGTGTGACCCTTGTCGGCAATCTAAATCCAAGGTGAGGGAGGATATGCTCTTCCAACCTCAGTAGCTAACTGGTATCGCAAGTGCGATAGCAATAACCCAAGGTGCCAAAGATGTGAGAAGCACAATCTGGCCTGTGTCTACACCCATACGGGAAGAGATAGACGTATGAATCGACAGGCAGGACGCCAGTTAGTGCTCACAGCTCTGCTCAAGATGTTGTTCGTTGATGTCCAAGTATACTGAAGTAAGACAGGGCACATTCTGGGCCAAGAAACAGTATCAGGAAGCCCCAGTATCAATTAGCTATGGGCTCGTCGCGTATACAGGAGCAACAACAACAACAACAACAACAAGAGTCAATTGGAATCCCCGCAATAGAAGGCGACTCCGTACATACACCGACGAGTGTGAGCTCAGTTCGGCAGCTAACGAGCAGTATACACGAAATTTCGGAAAATACACACGAGAATCGCAGTCGGCAAGCGGAGCCACGAATTGATGTATTGGCAGCTGGTGTCTTTGATCGTCCATCAGGCTCATGCTACTTTGGTAAATAGGCGCTACTCTGCTTCTGGGAGCGAGAGATGTTTGGTATCACAGTCTAATCGTAATGCCCTAGGATCAAGCTCGAACCACGCAATTTTCTGGTCTCTAAATGAAATCGTTACTAACGTTGGGAGGAATTGCGGCCTTCTTCTGCATCCCGAGCGCCTCCGGAATAGTCAGGCTAACACGGATTATGGTCCATTACCAAACCCCCCTTCCTCTTCAGTTCCAGGATATGGTACTGATCATGTTGGTACCGACTTACTTCCTGAGCGCCAGACAGCTGTTAGATGGATAATACAATTCTCTGACACTGTAGGGAGTCTGCTTCCTTACATTCGTGAAGCTAGCTTGATTTCCGGTCTTGATGAGGTGCTGAATAGAGCTGATAATACTCAGAGATCAACAAGGCCGATGCTGGCATTGCTCAGCATTGTATTTGCTTTCGCCTTGTGCATTACACAAGAGCAATCACCAGAGATATACTACCGCCAGGCTTTAGGTTTACTAGATCCTGAAGTGCTATACTTGTCGAGCTCAAGCTTACGTGTGTAGTATCGCCCCCAGATGAGACTTGCAAATCACTGATATTTGGCAGTTGAGACGCTTTTACTCCTGGCTCTGTATCAGCAGAACAGCCAACGCTCTACTGAAAGCTTGACAATTCACTCTCTTTCAGTCAAAGTCGCCTATCAATTGGGACTTCATGCTCCAGCTTCTTACAGTCACAATGTGCCTAAGGAAAAGGAGCTCAAATCTCGACTTTGGTTTGCCGTGGTAAATCAGGACAGGTTAGTATATAGACAACCAGATGTCATCAATCTTATTAATAGCCACTAGAATTCTTTCTTCCGCTCTTGGTCAGCCTTGTTTAATACCTTCACACCACGTTCGTATGGAACTCATGGAACTGCTTTCTTTCAAGGGTCTCGTTGACGACATCGATTCATCTTACCGCAATAGCATAGTTGATCACTTCCGCGATCTAACGTAGGAATACCCCTTGACCGAAAAGCACGATGTAACTGACAGGACCAAGATCTTTACATCAGATTATGGGACAAGCCTTGGAGGAAATCCACGATTCGAACATGAGTCCTGTTACTCCTCTCAGCTTGCACGAGCTCTTGGAGAAGACAACCAAGCTTTCGTTAGAGATGGGTCGTTGGCGTCACAACGCCCTGCCATCTAGAATCCTGGAGACTATCGCAGACCGCGATACCTGGTCGCCTGCTGACTTCAAAGCATCTCGTCCCACGATATTGCTAGCGATCTATTATTACCGAACGCAACTGATGACATGCGGGCCTCTTCTCGTGACTGTCCTGCGTTCAATCACCAGAAAATCACCAGATTGCGATTCAGAGCTCCTGCAAGATAACATTGCCGCTATACTTAAAACCGATTTCCAACATGTATCAGAACTCCACAGACTGATCAGCGACATTTTACACATTCAAGAATCGTTCTTTCAAGAGAATGCGATCTGGTGGACTTGCAACTACTGTGGTGAGGATGCTTGTGAACCAATATTTGAGCACCTTCTAATAAAGAATTGCCTCAGCTTTGACAATCACGTTACACATTTTTGGATTCTGGCTGGCCTCAAAATGCCAAGGCGCAAGATTCATTACGAAACAATTTTCGTCTGTGAACTCAATCGACGAGTTGTTGGATGAATGTTTGGACACTTTGAAGGCAATTGGTGTGGCAAGTGCTATGAGTATCAACGCACATCGCCGTATATTTCGATATGTCCAGCTGCTAAGAGAAATGTGTGAGTCTATGTGCAAAGCTTTCTTCGCGTGGTTACTATGGTTTACTAACATCCTGACCCTGATAGCACTAGGACCAGGCGACCAAGCAACAGAACTCGAGCCAGTTGACACGATCCCAACAGGTGCACGAGAGACTCCCAGCGGCCAAACACTATTAACAACGGAGAATGGCGATTTGACCCGGCCCAGTTTCATCTCAGATGATAGCATTGACTTCTTTACACAGGTCAACGAACATGACCTAATCTATGGGAACTGGTTAGGTCCAAACTTTGGGCCAAATGAATTTGATGTGATAGGATACATTTAATGTTAACTAGCTGAAATGAAAGAACTTCTCACACGTTGTCCTGAACCTCGAGCCCATGATACAGCTCATCAAACTTCTCGCCCGCTAGGTTCATGCAGTCATGTGAATAGATCATCTCTTGCACCTCTGGTGACGCCCACTTATCCGGTACCTTGCCACCGTTGGTTTTGTTCGCAGCAAACAGTCTGTCGCGCTCCGCCTTCTTCTCTCCTTCGCCAAGATGCAAAGCCTTTCCGGATTGCGCCGCGAGGTCGACGAGCGTCGTCGTGCGGTCCTTGCGCAGCAGCTCATAGACCTGAAGGCTCCTGTTGATGGCCTCGGGTGACTTGATAGGTACTCTGGCAAGCACCTCGGCTAGAACAACGGCATCCTCAACAGCCTGTGCCGCTCCCTGGTTAAGATGAGGTAGGGTGGGATGGCACGCATCGCCCATCAAAGCTACGGAACCATAGCTCCACGTAGGTAAGGGCTTGTGCGAACGCAATTTCCATTCACAAACCTCACCGTCCGGGACAAGATTCAGCATACGCTGAACAAGAGGACAAAAGTCGGAGAAGACGTCCAGCATGGCGCTCTTGGAGCCCTTGGTCGTATAAGTCATGGATGGCGCGTCTGCGAAATTCGTGTCGGGTTGGATGGAGGACATGTTATAGATGGTACGGGACGCGATGGGGTAGGCGATCCAGTGTCGCTTCTCACCAATCCATCGAGTGACCTGGTTACTATCCAGCAGCTCCATCATTTCGGGGTCAGAAGCCATGTTCTCCCGGGAGAGGAGAACACGGTAGGCAGCCTGTCCAGTGTCTTCGGTGTCCATGCTGGCTCCGGCCTGCGAGAGGAGTGCGCTGCGTGCAACAGACTTGATGCCATCCGCTGCCAGAAAGACATCTGCAGTGGCTTGGTGCGCCTCGCCGTCCCTTGTCTTGACGGTGAACCTGACCTCTGGCGAGAAAACATCGACGCTCTGGAGGGTATGTCCAAACTTGAATCGAATGGCAGATTCCTTCTTGCAACCCTCGAGGAGGCTTCCGGCCAGGGAAGCCCGGTGTCCAGTGCAATGGGGATACCCATACTTTTTGCGAATGTCGGGCATATAGACATGCGTCAGCTCCTCGTTAGAAGCGCCATCTGTGAAGGTAGTTTCAGCAATGTGTTATTTCCAAAGTATGCTTTTTGACTCACTCCTGATGCTGGTCTCCTTGACGTCTGTTGCCTCGGCCCCTACAGAATCCCAGCACCCCAGACGCGTCAGGACTCTAACCAGGTTAGGAGCCAATTGGATACCGGCACCAACAAATCCTAGATCGGAGGCACTTTCATAAACCTCGATGTTTTTGAACCCTTTCTTTGCCAGTGCTAACGCGCATGTCAGGCCGCCCATGCCAGCACCGACAATAGCAACTCGTGAGTCTATGAGGGACATGTTGGCGTGTCTCTGACTATAAGCAGCAGGAATCAAATCTGGTTGAGAAATCAAAGTGTACGAATTATATCCCGTCATGAGTTGCAGTTGTGTAGAAGATAGAAGGGCAGGAATGGGGAAATGGCAATGTGGACTCTGGTATCTAATTGCGACAGTTAGTCATGGGAGACCAGAAAGCCACTCGTTGGCGTAAGCGCGGTATCAGCGGCCACTTACTGTATCCGGTTGAACGTATCAAATACCACTTATGGTCAACATATCACTTGTCGGATTTCGATAGCGACTCTCAGGTTTCGGATCAATGAATTTATCTGGGGATTCTTGGGGAGGGGGACAGGGTAACCTTCGGGTTGTGGGCTCATAGCCAATCGGATTGAGCTTGCCCGGTGGCCAATGGGAATCTAGTCAACGTACGCTACGAATGCTAGCCATCTCTTCGTAGGGTACGCGTGGCTCGGAAACTGGGCAATTTGAAAGCGGCATCGGCGACACTCACTTAACCGTCTCCAATTGTGTGCTTCCAGGGAAGCGAATCGGCTCTCGACGTCGGGGCCGAGCCTCGATGTATGTCATGATATCGCCCGAAGCTTAAAGTCCCAGAAGCCTCGAGTCTAGACTCCAGTACGGTGCTTGGACTTTGCGTGTATAATATCTCACCCAAAAGACGCTTTTCACTCCCTCCTGCCTATTCGCCGTTTAAACGCCATTTTATCCCATCATGTCTGCATCAACTCCCAAAGGACCTTTCCGCCTCGTCACTGTCAACAATGTGCCTGAGAGAGCCAAGAAGGTCATTGGTCAAGTTGTTGAGGAACTCAAGACTCGCTACATAATCGAATATGTTGGCAATTGCTTTGGTATGTCTGGCAGGACCGCATCACTGCATGTTGAGACAACTCTATAGGGCGTTGTTAACAACCGTTTTAGACAAGAGCGAGGTGGCACCCAAGGTGACGGAGCTCAAGCCAGACATTCTTGTGCGTATCTTCACAGCCACTAAATCTTCACTCTCAGTCGGTTGCTAATATGCTGTAGTGCTGCGCTTCTATGTGGACCGAGGAAGAGAGTACCGAGATGAGGGAGACAGCGAAATCCATCATTCCTGGGATCAAGACATACGCTATACCTCAGGGTTTGCAGGTCAAGGGTGGACCTCAGGCTGTAGTTGAGCATCTGAAGGAACAATTTCCTAAATTGTTAGATAGTTGAAATATGAGTCTCAACGCTACTGCTTCTAAATTTTCTGGATAAAGCCTTCTCCTTATAAAAGAAATAGCAATAGTAGATGTTTAAACACTTCATGTTCTAATGTCACAATAATGGCGAGCCTTGTGTTTCACCAGATCTTTCTTTAACTGAATAACCTGCAAACCGAGTCATAAGCTAGGTCAGACATGAAATGATCATTATTGATTATTCAAATGTGCATTTCAATAAAGTTAGGATGCCATGTTTCATAATATGAAAAGTTCAGAACTTGAGAGGCTGTGCTAATTTCGGTACCAGCACCAAATTGTTATGCTACAATTGCGAGTAATCATTCATTCTCGAATATATTGACCAAGGTACCAATATGCGGCAGGATCTCAACATGAAACTCGTCTCCAGCGTCAAGTCTCTCCTTAGGTGTCCTTCCCATACCCACTCCTGCAGGGGTTCCCGTAACAATGATGGTGCCAGCGGGCAGAGTGGTGCCCTGCGAAAGGAAGGCAATGAGTTGGGGAACCCCAAATATCAAGTCACTGCAATTCGACATTAGCCTCAGAGGACTGCTCAATACGGTGACGAAGAACTTACTCAAGCTCGGATTCCTGCATGACCTTTCCGTTCTTCAATCCTCGAATCTTGAGCTTGGCAGGATCTGGAACCAAGTCTTTAGAAACAAGTATCGGTCCTGTGCCAACGGTCAGTACCAAACATACGTTAACTTCTCAGCAGACGAAAGAGCACATACCGATGGGACAAGCACCGTCGAAGCCCTTGGAAAAGTTCCATTGGCTTTGGGCAAGCTGGCTATCACGACTTGAGACGTCGTTGCACGCTGAATATCCTAGAACGTACTCCATTGCCTCCGCCTCCGAGACATTCTTAGCGGTCTTACCAAGGACAATAGCGAGTTCTGATTCAAAGTCACTAGTACCGTCCTTTTGCGAAATCTTGGGGATGAAAGTCGGCGTTGGCCAGGGGTCTCCAAGCGCGGTGTTTGGCTTCATAAACATGGTGGGGATTTGCGGTAGCTCCATCGACACTTCATCCGCATGTCGCTTGTACTAAATCCAGATAGTTTCAGTAATCTATTCCATTTTACCTGCCGAATCAAGAGTTGCTCACGTTCAACCCGATGCAGCGAATAGTGCCAACTTCGCTAGCCGCTAGCGGCGAGAATATCTTATGGATGATTTCAACCTTTCCAGTGCCCTGGCCAGGGTTTAAAACTGACGTTCCTGAAAAGACATCGACCCGGACTTCAGTGCAATTGCGAAGAGCCAAGCCGACATCGATGTCGTCTTCCACAGGTTGTCCAATTAGGATATCTGAAGTCTTTGATCGCGGCGCAAAGCGGACGAGACCTGCATTGGTTAGAATATTCATAAACTGAACGTTTGGCGGGCTCGATACACACGTTTGAATAGAGAGGCGGGCATCTTTGAGTTCAGGACTTGTTATTCTGAACATGTCGCTAAGATTTCTGACAACAATCATCGCCCTCTTTATTTGTCACCGAATACCACGTCATGTCCTTACATGTTTGGAGTAGACAGGGAACTCCAAGTCTCACCCAATCAGAATTCGACTACCCGATGCCGACTCCGAGCCGGGACAGGCCACGTACATTCCGATTGGATGACCGGAATCTTTTGGAGCTGCGCTAAACTAATTGAAGGAAGTATATGTATCCAGATATGGAATATGTAAAGTGATTCGGTTTGACCTAGGGCGACAGAATCACAACACAAGTTAATTTCTAGCTAGTCCATGATTTCAACGCGCAATGTCTTCAAACAACGAGAATGTCTCAGCAGATACGCAAGGAACTCCATTTCGCGAATTCATGCCCGATCTTGGTATCGATAGATTCACGTCTATGCGCAAGCAAGATGCCTACGAATATGCCGAAGCCTTCAAAAAGAACGGGAACCCCCCTTGGATTCACGGATTATATCTGCATTGGAGAGAACTTCTTACCGAGCCGTATAAGGGCGTAACAAACGATGGTAAGCAATAAGCCCTGGTTGCTGAGAAAGAACAGAGTATACTGATTTACAACTAACCTAGGCCACGTCCGGGGAGACCTGTATAAGCTTGAAGATGACGGTGTGCCGATTGAAAAAATTGTCAAAGCCTCCGACTTGGCCATCTCTAAGATGACACAAGAACAAAAGACACAGTGTCACTATCACATTGACTCTCCGGAATGGAGGACTTGGTCAAATCCAGAGTTTCTGCTGAGCTCGAAGGGCATTCGTCTCGACGAAATAAACCAGGACCTCCGTGAAGCAGTCATGGGACTCTTGGAGACTTCACTATCCCCCGAAGGTTACGAGAAGGCCGTTGCTGCTATGCGCATCAATGGCTTCCTAGGTGAGATTATCCAAGTTCCATCCATCATGAATGAGTTCTCCTATAACTTTGTTTTCTTTGGTGAGATCTCTTTGGAACATCCTTGGGGGTTCTCATTCTATGGTCACCACCTCTGCCTGAACGCCTTCTTCTATAAACGTCAGATGGTTCTCTCGCCGTGGTTCACGGGCGCTGAACCAAATATTATTGATGAGGGCCAGTTCGGCGGCACGCAGATCATGAGGCGCGAAGAGAGTTTGGGGCTCCAGCTTATGCAAAGCCTTCCTGGAGAAGTCCAATCTCGCGCGCAGATATACCGGCTAATGAAGGACCCAGCTATGCCCCGAGGCCGCTGGAACCATGATGATCAGCGACACCTCTGCGGAGCATATCGCGACAACCGAGTTGTCCCATACGAGGGTGTGCTTGTGTCTGACCTATCGGTAGAACAGCAGGATCTCGTTACTCAAATTGCTTCGGAATTCCTGTTGTATCTCCCCGAGCAGGCACGCAGACGTCGCCTATCCCAAGTCCGCTCTTGGTATCATGAAACGTATTTTTGCTGGATCGGCGGGTTCAATGATGACGACCCTTTCTACTATCGTCTTCAGAGCCCTGTAGTCATTGTCGAGTTCGATCACCACTCGGGCGTTTTCTTGACCAACAAGGAACCGAAAAGATTTCATATTCACACTCTGTTAAGGATGCCCAATGGAGGAGATTATGGCATGGCTCTCAGGACACTCATCCCGGGCAAAACTCAGAACTTTCAATGGGAAGGGAAGAGCTAGACCCGGCATTATGTGTTTACTAGCACGGTATAGAAATAACTAGTTACAATTAAGGCAAAACTCTGATAAAATGACCAGCCCGCCGTATTTCTGTAGTGAAATAAACTCGTGGGAAGTTTCACCTCCAGTGAAGAAGATATTTCTTGAATGCATCGAAGCCGTTATCTCATGGCACCTCCTCAATGACTAAAAGCCCGTAATGGTACTCAGTACATGTAGCCAGATAGGTGTGGTCGCATGTGGCAGACCTGATGACTCTCCTCTTACGTTTCTCAGCGCTTGGGAGCAATCGGTCCGGTCGGATAGACCCCCAGTCCTTAGCTAGGATGTTTTATGTTAGAGCTACATTGCAAACCCCCACCACATACTTTGCCGCTAGCAAGATGCCGATAGATCCGTACCATTACGCAGCTCTGGGGTCAAATGCGGGGATAGTCCAGTTCCCCAGATAGATTGTTAGTCTACCCGTCCCCAGATTTGTTACTCCTACCGCCGGCTTATCAGCTTCCGACTGGTCAGTATTTGCCAAGAGGTGGATCCCTACCTCCATTGTATGTTGCAATATACCGTTTGGGTTCTTATGTCTCTGGGGTTTTGTCTTATAAAGAGTCTCTAAATCCAAGTCTTGTTCAATCCTACCAGCTCTGACTATCTGGCAGTTACAAGACATTACATCAGACTCTTCTTCCCTCAAAACGACAAGACCCATGGCGAAACCAGTGGTAGATCACTCCGAACAACATGTGAGTAGTAGGCCTGCAATCGCCTGAACCTACATCTTTGATGTATTAACATCCTTATTAACAGGATGAGAACAACTCGGTCGATATGGGACATGTGGAAGATAACACTGAGACTTTCCACCATGCGAAATGGAAGGTATGTTTCCGAACCCCAAAGAGCACCTACACGAGATAGATATCTGATTCATTCTCTACACCGACAGAGAATGGTGAACCTACTCCTAGTCTCATTTCACTCTATGATGTCAACATTCTCTGCTGCGGCAATCCAGTCTAGCTTCGTCGATATTGCCAAGGATTTTGATGTCAGCGTTCAACGCGCTAGCTATCTCACATCGCTCTTCATCGTGGTTCTTGGAGCAGCACCGTTGTTTTGGAGACCACTTGGCCAGACATACGGCCGCCGCCCCATCTTTCTTATCTCCCTCATTGGCAGCCTGGTCGGTAACATTGGCTGCGCAAAGTCCCCATCGTACGGTACCATGGGGCTATGCCGAGCGATCACGGCGTGGTTCATCTCGCCTGCAGCGTCTCTTGGAAGTGCCGTCGTGGCCGAATCCTTCGCGAAAAAGGACAGGGCGAGATACATGGGTGTCTGGACGACAATGGTGACTTTGGGTGTTCCTCTTGCGCCCTTCATCTTTGGCTTTGTCACTGTTCGAGTTGAATACCGCTGGACCTATTGGATCCTAGCCATAGTGAGCTCCCTACTCGCTAAAGCGTCTTGATCGCTCATTCGAATCGTGCTAACCGAGTCTAAAGATCAACGCAGTCCAGTTCGTCTTGTTCTTCTTTCTAGGTTTAGAGACCAGGCACGTTCCAGGCCACGCAACCCCAAAGAAGTCGGGTTACTTCACGTTTCGCCGAATCGACCCGACCCCAATCAAGCTCGTCGACTTCATCGCGCCTCTGGGTCTCATCACTCGACGTAATGTTGTCATCCCTGCCGTAGCCTATTCCATGGCTTTCCTATGGGGTAGTGTGACGACCACATTTGAGATCCCGCAGATCTTTCCCGAGACTTATGGCTTCGACAATCAGCAAGTTGGTCTACAGTATATCGGCATCATACTCGGTACTGTGATCGGTGAATTTGGTGGAGGTTTCTTGTCAGATCAATGGATGCGGCGCCGGCAGCGACGAGGCCGCAAGCCTGAGCCAGAGTATCGACTGTGGTTAAGCTACTTTGGCTACCTGCTTGTTATTTGCGGCGTGGTGGTCTTTTTCATCCAGATTGCTAAGTCTGGCACTAAATGGAACATTACTCCCATTATCGGCGCTGCCATTGCAGCTGTAGGAAACCAGATCGTAACCACCATTATGATTACCTACGCCGTCGACTGCTATCCATCCGAATCGGCCGCCATCGGCGTGTTTATCACATTCATCCGACAAACTTGGGGTTTTATCGGCCCGTTCTGGTAGGTAGTAGGATTAGAATTTGGATTTATAGAGCAGACAAAGACTAACATGATTCAGGATTCCGGAAATGCTCCAAAATACTGGATACTTTGCGAGCTGCGGGATCATTACTGCATTGCTAGTTAGTATTTCGATTATGCCGACTATGCTGTTGCAGGCCAGAGGACATAAATGGCGGGAATGAGCATTATTAGGGTCGAGGAGGAAGAGGTGCGTAACGCGAGGTAATAAGACATGCAGGAACAGGGAGGGGAATAAGTACAGTTTCAAGGCTTGGTCACTTAGCACTCACTATGAGCTTTGTAATGTGTTTGAATGACATGAAGGAAAGGTGTAAATAGTTCATTATAACCACAACCTTAATAAGATCTATTCTTTAAAATATCAGAAATACTATTATTAATACTGAGGAGATATATAGTATAGTAGCTATTACCAAGTAAGTAATATTCTAGGGAGACGGGCAAATGAAATAACGTAGTGGTTCGGCGGACACTGAGTTGTACACAGTACTATTAGTTCTGATACTGTACCTAATAGCTTGAATACCTTGACTAATAGCTCTGCGATTAAGCAGTCGTTATTGTCTCTTATATATAACTTATTGAAAGGAGTAGAAGCTAACTCAAACGAATTTTGATATTATTTAATTGATTTACTCAACGTCCGGTATTGTTTTTAATAATTAATGTTTCAAGTTATCCTAACTTGAGTTAAGTGCATTAGTCATGAATAACAAATGTAATCGAATATATAAAGGCCATATCCTTTTATAACAGTCGCCTCTATTACTACAGGTATATCTGCCTAAATCTTCGAAAATAGTACTATAGTACCTAGTAAGAATATAACGGCCTCTCCTCTAAGCAACCTAGCGACGCAACCAGGATTTCTATTTACAGACTAGGCCACTAATCTACCTAGGATTTAAATAATACTGATTTCAACCAAGCCCATCAGAACCTACAATTTGCTAATTAGTTAGACGTCTATAGCCCTAGAATGTATACTATTCTATTAGGAGTTAATATAATAACACTTAAGATAGCAGTACTACTAAACAATCCTATTGTTAAATTATTAAAGATTATTTTTTATATGTCTGGCATCTTATTAAACGCTATTACTACTATAATAATAACTATAGGTAGGGCCGCTAGAATATTGAAATTCTTATAAGATTAAAGGTAAGGTCTATATCGGCATAGTTATCTATTAACCCTAGATATAATAAGTCAGTTTAAGAAGTTACTTGTAATAACTAGCTGGTGTTATACTGAAGTTAATTAATTAGGTGGATTAGGGTTCTATAATTTTAAGGAGGGAGCTTAAAGGCTACATAAATAATTTCTTTAGTAAGGTGTAAAAGGAGAGTAAGTATATTAGGATGCTTTTATAGTATATAAACAATTACTTAACGATTAGTAAAGTAAGAATGGGCTAACGCCGAAGTTTCATCCCGGGGCTAACTACTGACTTGCATAGAACCAGAAACAGACACCCTAGCATACTAAAAACACGCACCCTAGCAGTAGGACGAAAAATAATATCCAGTCCCTACTTGACTTAAAAACACTTTTTATTATAATAATATAGATCGGCCGCCAGTCTACAAGCTATTAATAAGGAGATAGTAAAGGTATATAGCAAGCCTATGTCCTTAAATACCACTCACGACAATCTTAAAGCTAATTATAGAGCATGCCTGGATTCTGGATTTTAACGGGGATGGCTTTAAAATTACCAGAGTTATCGAATTTTACAATTAAAATACGGTACGGAAGTTTATAAGTAAAGTTTATCCAAATAGATTAGGAGCTAAGTAATAAATACTTATTTAGTATAAGATTCCATCCTTGACCTTGTCCTACACTCTTGACGAGACATAAATAGCCTAAGAGAGAATTGAAACGTATCTGACCTTTTTCAAGTCCTATAAGTGTGGGGCTCAGCGTATTTTAAATAAAGGAGAATAGGGGCTTTCAAGGGAAGCTTGTCCTCTACATCTTTTCCTTTCGACAATGGGTAAGAGCACACTATAGAATAGATAACGTATACATTACGGCGACATACATACCTACAACACATTGTCTACGACACTATCTAAGTCGGCCTTCTCTAATGAACTCACTACCGAATCTATCAGGTTTGGTCTAAGATTTAAGCTTATCTATTCTACACATTAGGGAAGTCTATCCGCCACTTCAGGGGAAGTTTATACTTCCCCTCCTTCTTTTCCTATTTTTAACCTTCTTTCTTCTGTTAAAATGAACACTCTTACCACCCCCTCGCGAACACGTCTACTGCGTCCAAGCCAGGAAGAAGCACTACGATCTCTCCACCACCACATACGTTAGTGCAAATTATTGCGGTTAATGTAGCTTGGCCAACCCATTTCGGCTCTAAGATCGCGTTACGTCGAAAACTTCGGCACTTCCGGGTCCATACGATGAAGTGGTAGAGCTTGAAGACTCTCCGCCACCACGACCAGTCAGTGTGGCGAGTCATTTGTTACGTAGCTGACAGAAGCCTGTGTCATATATAGGCTGTTAAACAGCTTACAGTTCACGACTCTGGCATCTACGGCAAGCCAGGCCATTCAGAATACGAAGGAAAACATAAGGAAGCCTACAAGACCACGTACGGGGTACCAATAGGTTCATGTAAGTCTCCTATTTGTAAACCTGGAGACTAAGGACTTCAAATGGGTTTGCAGTTGAGGTTCCGGAAACAGTACTACCCCTGAAAGATACGGTGATCAAGTTGACTTCGGTGGACTTGCTGACTTGACATTCGTTTACCGCGATCTTATTCAACCATGTCTGTCCACTCCCCTCCACAGTCGATCTTACGAATAGAGACCTTTTGAGTCTTTCTTATGCCTCAAGTTTCTCCCGGCAAAGAATCGTCACCATTCCTCAAACCGACAAGTACACAACGCCGTGGAGTATACTCACCTCAAGACACTTTAGTACAACCAAGCAGGACAGTCAAAGCTGCTAGTCGTCCTCACATCCAGATATGTAATCGACACATAGGAACCAGTTACACCCTGGCGACTATGTAGATACTTAACTCTAGTTAAAGAATAAAAGACATGAAAGGTCAGGCAAGAAGAAATAAACCCTGTTTTGAAGCGCGAAAAGCGTTTCAAATAGGAAGTTCACATCAAGAAAGAGGGGGACGAACCGGTATTCCCAAGCATTACCTTTATTTATAATTACACTTTTTAGCATGTAAGTGTTAAAAACGTAGCTTTATTTACACTTTAATCCTTAACAAATACACAATCTACGCCTCAATCTGCACTGTGCGCTGCTGTAAACGGCGTCGATGACATTGTCTACAACGAATCCGTCCGCTGCCCCGAACCCTGTTGATCTGTCAATCCACACTCCTGCCAATCTGAACCGAGTAATAAATGAATGAGGTATATTCCGCCCGGAAAGATTTAACTTATAGGGCTAAGTACGCTAGGCGATTTATATTTCTAAGGCTTTTTTCACTTTTGTCTCCTACAAGCCCTATGCGTTTCCTTATCCGCTGATATATCTAGCCTCGTTGAACTATATGACAACTTTGTTTAAAGGCCAATTTATTTAAATACTTAGCATTCTATCCTTAGCAGCTAAAGTATAGCCTGCTAGCTTAGCGCTATTCAGTATTAGTATTGCTAGATTTAGCTACTAAATGCCATTAGTTAGTAAATTATATAATAGTACTGTAGAGGTCGTAATATAACTATAGAAATACCATTTTACTAAAAGGATAAATTAACTTAATTCACTATTTATTATAATAACTATTAGCCTTAGCTATTTAATAATTTCAGTGAAACTTATTTTAACCTATCCCTACTAGGTGGAGAAGCAAGTAATACAAAGAGCTAATTTAGTATTAAAGTTATCGCTATCAGTGCTATCCTACCCCTTTTCTTACAGAACTTAAATCCAAATCCCAGTATTACCTATGATCTAAATATTTGGAAGTTATAGATCACTTTGGGCGGCGTAGTAGTAGCTATGTACTTTCCGGTAAAGCTTGCTGACACATAATTAACGACGGGGAATTTGTACAGAGGGCTAAACACCGAAGTAGACGGCAACTTGAGAGATCCCACACTGTCCTATATTTCCCCTCCTTCCAACCCAAAATCCAACTCAATAATCGGATTACAGTCTAGACGCAAACGGCGTCCATGCATGAATAGTTACTCACAGAGTTAGTAAGATCGTAGCTGAGGGTCCTCAGCACTTTAGAATAGCCCCATATCTCTCGTCCACCATACACGGCATTCTCGTTATCCAGGAGAGGCCAAAAAGCAAAGTCATACTTTTTCCCTTCAGAGTAAATCTCGACATAATGTCTCAATCCTTTGTATAATCCAACAGCTGTGTAGCCGTAGGTTAGAAACAGGATCGTAACAATCGGGTTAACATTAATTAAAAGGTTACTTAAAAGTAATTTTAAGATGTCGTCTTTCTTGGTATAGGATTTAATTACTGAGGGAAAACCAGCTAGATTTAATCGGGTTAAGGGTAAGACTATAGGCATTTAGAGCCTTCTTCCCATTTCAGTATTTAATATATACATACTATTAATACTATTTATTATCTATCAATACTTATTTTATACCTACCCCTAGGTTTAGATATCTATATACTTTCTTTATAGTTATTCTATCTACTTATAGACTTAAATATAGTTAGCTTTTACGGTTATAACTACTAGTCCTACCCCTAAGTTTAGATATTTATACACTGCTAGTATTAACCCCTAAGCTTTTAGGTCTACTATGCCTTATAATTATTTATAATTAAGCTCCCTTTTTATTTCTTTTCTATCTTTTTATAAATACTAAACTTCTTTAAATCTACTATAAAGTATTACTTAACTTAATCTTATAATACTTAATTAAGAAAAAGGCCTTAAAATACTTACTATAAAACTTCTATAAATACCTTACTTCCGATATTAAATAACTATATAGATAATACTATAAAGATATATTTAAAGGAAATATCTAGCAATCAGAGCCAATAGAATCCTAAGTCTATAAAGCCATTAAAATTACCTTAGCTATTTCCCCTTCTATTTATAGAGGTCAATTCAGTCTATATATAAGCTAAGCTATACTATCTTGCCGTTACTAAGCTCCCTTTAAACGTCATTAACTACTCGTAA